ATGGGTCTGCTAAAAAGAGATGGTGATAAGATTCATATGATTCAATAGTGAGTAGCTGTTATCATGACTAATTGAGACTGTCATAATTGTAAAGGTAGAAGTTTTGTGACAAAAACAGGGGAGTGATTAATATACAGTCCAGAAACAGAGGACCCTAGGACTATCAAGGGAGAAGAGCACAAGCAGAATGCGGGACCTTATTCAGAGAAGCAGTGAATCCAGAGATGGAGTCAGAAATGGCGGCATGGAGAGGGATAGTGGCTGAGGATTCTAGATTCATGGGAAGAGAGGGACTAAGATCTGGTAGCCAGGAGGCAGACTTGCAGAATGTGCCCTTTGGAGATGTAAATTATTATATATGCCTGAGTTTTTTGTTTGTTTTTAAAGCTAAAGTGAATAGAGAGGAATGCTGTTAACTGATGGTACATGGACGGGATTATAATCATTGTAATGAAACAAGGTTTATGACTTGTTGAATGTAAAACTGATGATCTGCCCTGTAAACTTTCACTCAATCCACAATAAAAACCTTAAAAAAAAAACGAAAGAAGGAAAACAAACAAACAGCCCCAGAAAACAACAGCCCTCAAACATAAAATAATGAAGAAATAAGAAAATAAAAATAAACTTAAAAACCAAGACGGGAGTATTCTTTTTTATCCTCCAGTATAAGTAATGTCTTATTGCCACCTACTTGCCTCTTGCCTTCATAGCCACCCAAGAAATTTCAAGAGGCTCCTTCTGTGCCTCTCTGATCTGCACAAACTCCAGTCCCCCACCCCCCTCTTTTCTGCACCCCATAAGTCTGTTCAGCCACTTCTCCTAACAAGAGCTAGTCAAGGACTGGCTAGAGCCGGCTGTACGTTTGGAGCATAGCTTGCTGGAGCGGGGCTATTTATCATAACCTTGGGGTCTTTGAGGTTTTACTCACCTGAAAATCAGGACCTTCACGGGGGGTGTACACTACTAGAAAATGGCCTCACCTCTGGTAACTAGGGTAATGCAAGGAATCAGAGAGGAACAGGAAAAAAAAAAAAAAGGCACCTTTGTCTCTGCGAGTCACAGGTAGGTTTCTGCAATGAGAATTTTCCCCCCCTTGTCTCTTAATCTGTTCACACACACACACACTCAATAAATCTGTGGTAGGCCCCATAGTCACCATGATGCTTGAGGGGCAATTTTTTGTGTGTACACCTATTTACAGCTTAACTGAAAATTGAACTCTAGGTGAATTTAGTTTTGGACCTGAAGGGAAACCAAGAGTTAGAGTCTTTGAGTTCCACCAGTCTCTATCTGACCAGTAGATCTGTTTTTTTTCTAATTTAGAGTTCTTCCCCTGCAAAAAACTTCCACTCTATTTAGACCTACTAGTGTGATCCCATGTTCATGGTCATTAGTCATCAGAGAGATGCAAATCAAAACAACAATGAGATATCATCTCATACCACCAATAACAGCAAAGGTTAAAAAAAAGTAGAGGACAATAAATGCTGGTGGGGATGTGGACAGACTGGGACACTCCTGCATTGCTGGTGGAACTGCAAAATGGTCCAAATTCTGTGGAAATCAATATGGCGCTTCCTCAGAAAGTTGGGAATAGAAATATCATCCAGAAATTCCTCTACTTGGTATTTACCCACAAGAAGTATGAGCCATAAGACGAGAAGATATATGCACATCAATGTTCATAGCAGCACTATTTACAATAGCAAAAAGATGGAGACAGTCAAAGTGCCCATCAACTGAAAAATGAATAAACAAACTGTGGTACATACACACAATGGAATATTATGCTGCCTTGAAGAATAACAAGGAAGCTGTAAGCCACCACACAACATGGATGAACCTTGAGGACATCATGTTGAGTGAAATTTGTCAGTCACAAAAGGAGAAATACTGTATAGGATCACTACTGTAAAAGACTAAGAAAAATAACCCATACTAAAGGGAGGAGGATTATTTACTGGTTGCTGGGATGTGGGGTTGGGGAGAGGGTAGAGGCAGGAAGGTGGGACAATGGGCAGGGAATAGACACAGAATAGTTTGGGTCCTGGGGAGGGGGGCAATATAAAAGTAGGAGGAAGTGAATAGAAGAATAAAATGGATGCAAGAACAGCTAAACAGGCTTGCATGGGCAAAGTGGGACAGAGGTAAAGAATGACGTATGCACAGCCTTGGAACAACAGGGCTCTGGGTTACAGGGATTGAGATATGATTGGAATGAGGAAAAGGGGGAAAATAATGTTAAGGTACTTGGCTGTCTTTAAATCTTGGTTTTCCTTTCATTACACTCTAAAATAGACACTGGAAGGGGAGAGAAAGGAATAACCAGAAATATCACCATAGAAAGCTTGTAAGTCTGTCTTATGCCAATAACTGATTGGAATATCTAAAAGTGCCCAGTGAAGCAGGCTTCCTGTGGACCCTCTGCATTACATAAGACTATAGGTGGAATCCTGAACAGCGTCCAGAATCTTCAATAGTGGGAAATTTCCTCTTGAAGTATGGGAAGACCAGCCTGGAGTGTCTAGAAGAACAGAAGATACTTCTTGAAAGAAAGATCGAAAGGAAAATATGAAACAATATAGGCAGACCGACTGATTACTACGAGAACAAGCAAGTTGCTCTCCCAGGAGACGTCAAGGCAAGTGGTCCAGTCCCTTCAGAATGAACTCCCTTCCAATGGGAATAAACACTCTGATTGGTGACCACATTCGTCACCGATAACGGGATGTGAGAGAAAAACAGCAATGAAGCTGCAAGCTAAGCCCTACAACATTCAGTAGATTCCTGTGAACCTGGATGGAGACCTGGTTGGCCAGCTGTGTAACAAGATCTGGGGACTCTTCAACCCAGAGTCAGTAACATAGCCACAGAGGACTAGAGTGGAGAGTGAAGCATCCAGCTGATAAAAAGAGAGGGCATATGCACAAGAACACCCACACTTGCAGATAATACCCACTTGACCAGGCTTCAATGACTGGATGATCAGAGCCCAACT